GACGATAAGATCGAGGAGGGACCTGTTAGTAGGCAAATGAATCCTCTGAAGCAACCAGCAAATTATGTACCTCCACAGAGGTAGTACCTAAGCCTTCATTTTGTGATAGTAATTCATCTAACGACTACTTCAGCTAAACTACGCCATTCATGAAGTTTGTTGTTTCCTGAAAGCCTTGACTGGGCGCAGTTCGGCGACTGAGGGGGGGGGGGCATTTTGCTTTAAATCGATGTGCCGACCCATCTGGATAGCTTTTTCGAGTTGACACGTTTTAGCATGGTGGCTAGACGAGCTTGCTCCAGCTTCACAAGAGTTCACAAGTTTCACCAGAGTGAGACTTGTAAACCGGAAGTAGTGAAGCAGTGAAAGTGCAAATTGCCCCCCTCCCATCGCCGAACTGTCCAGAGTGAAACATCGAGACCTAAAGGCACTGGGCACTATGGCTGGAGCCGCGTGGTTGTTGCCAGGTCATTGGTGGAAGGGCTGCAAGAAGGCGTTCGGCCACTCCCCACTTAGAACTTCCACCGATGACGTTGGCGACAACCGCCCGCCAAACCATAGTGCCCACAGCCTTCATGCCTGTTTGGTGGAAAAAGTATAAAGCTCTTCCCGCGTTTCGCAATGCGCCACGCGTTTTACTACCATGCAGAATCGTAGACGCATTCTGATGGCGATTCCGCTAGCGGAGCGATTTTTCCCTGAAGGGACTATTTTGTGAGGGGTATTCTTTCCTTGAAGAGACTCTATTTTGTGAAGGGTATTCGGACTTGAGGAAACCATTTTGAGAAAGCGTTCTACACGATTACTCATCTTCGGTCACTACCCATTGACTGGCGACAGGTGATATCATCCTACAGTTTGGTGGTAGCAGTAAGGTGAGCAATGAGGTGATGTGGCGCGTCTTATCGGCGTTGTTGGCACTGGAAGCGATTACAGGACACCACATTGTTGTTTGCTGTATGATCTTAATGCGACTCGATAGAGTCTTACTCGTACGAAGTTTGTATCTTCATAGAGAGGACCTTGAGGAAAGAACTGTTGCACGGGAGCAATTATTTCCATTTCCCTAGAACGATGATAAGTTGGTCTACTTGCCTGGCAAAGGAGCAAGTAGAGTAGCTCAACGGCAGAGAAATCAGGGAAGCACCTGATCGTGTAAGCATTTGACTCACTCGACTCTTTCCTGCTCTTCTAGGAAATGTCGTCTCTGCCCCTCCATGAAAGTCAATTACAACCTCGAGCTAAGTTCAAAGCCATAAGGCAGCGTTCATACTTCGCGACAGCAGCGGCGATCGTCGGTACATGGCAGAGCGCGCCCCAACGCTATTACTTGCGCTCCGAAGGCTTTTGGGAAGAAGCGACTCAATTTCATGCTTTTTTTCCTTTAACTGCAATTTTCTTAGGTACTGAAGCTTGGTTTGACACAAAGAAAGGTGAACCCAACTTAATGGCTTTTGTTTTCTATTTTCTTTCTTGATTCAGGATAGAAATGAGCAAAAAGTGAGAGCTTCATTTAGGGTAGGTTTTTATTGTTTCTTTTTTCATTCGTCGAGCTTATACATGAGGTTATAAAGTTTTCACCTGTTGATGTTGCGTAAAATGATTAGTGTTTTGGTTCCTAGGTGAGTTTCTTTCTGTTTTTTTCTTCGTTGTTTGAACTCGACTTGTAAACTATAAATGTTTTGGAAGTTGGAACAGTTCAGACGATAGGAATTTTAAGGCGCTTGTATAAATTGAAACAATAAAAACAAAAGAAACAAAAAGAAGCTCACCCAGGAAATGGAGTTGGCCTTATCCCGACCTAAAAAGAAGTGAAACCTCATATTCCAGATCCGCTTATGTATAGAAAGTCGTAAGTTATCAGTTAGTAGCCATTATTAAGAGAAAAGAAGGTCTCACAAGTTGGATTCCCTTATTTATCAAGCGAGCGGTCCATAATAGCGTTGGGGCGCGCTCTGCCACGTACCGACGATCGCGGCGATCGCCGAGGTCGCAGAGGTCACCGCGATCGTCCGCTGCTGTCGCGAAGTGTAAACGCTGCCCACGGCACGACAAGTTGAAAACAGTCGCAGGGGTGATATTGATGGGAAAATGACGAAAAAGCATCGAAGCAGCTCATTTGACCGATTCCTTTCAGTCCCTTACATTTGTTTCAGTTTATTTGGTTTATTCCTTAGTTACTTCTACATACTTGGTAGGTGCTCAGGTGGTATCAGTGTTATTGATATCGTGTTATAAGTGTTATGGCGTGTCCTATACGGATGCATTAAATAAGTAAATAAAAAGCGAAGCTAACGGCTAAAAACTACGAAGAACCTCTGCTCTACATGGCATTGGAAGGGACGAGCACTTTCGGACGAGTTTGTCGATGGCATTGTGCAGAACGGTTTCGATAGGTGCTTAATGTACGTGTTCATACATGTAGCAACGCTCCACATCGCTTGTATTCCATAAATGAAGCGACAAACGTACCAGGCTCGATGGCTACGTACATTTGTGGACGGGCCGGTGCGATGGGCGTCATGTTGCACCTTGGTTAGGGGGGTATATGAAAAGAGGATTGTCCCATGTCGCGGGCGTGGGCGGGGCGTGCGACGTCGCACGCGGCTAGAGACGAGCTGCGCTTGAATTTCACTCTTAAAGGGACGCTCCATTTGGCTTCGACTGAGTATCCGATGTTTACGTGTATTCGGTTCATGTGAAACGTATACAGTTGAGTTTCTAGTTTTTTTCTAGATTTTTTTTTGCTTGAGTTTCTTCTTGAACACTTGTGACTATGGTTCAGCTCAAGGTCAGCATTTTTTTCACTGCCATATGATGGTGATAGAGAAAATCTAACCCCTAGACTAGAAGCCATTTATTGACATTCAAACCATCCAGTTTGAATTTCCCGCGTTTCGTCCACACCGGAGATCTTCCGCGCTCGTCGTGAGACGGCGCGCGGCGACGCGCGGGAAAATCTCCGGTGTGGACACCACGCAGGAAATTCAAACTGGATGGTTTGAATGTCAATAAGTGGCTTCTAGTCTATGGGTCAGATTTTCGGCAAATTACGATCCTCTTTACCGCCTCCCTGGTTGAAAAACCCAGCGCTTACTCACGCAGCGCTTGCTCAGGGGTACAATGTTCTTTCGTGCTAGGCGGAATGGTCCTAAACGCCTTATCGATTTTTCTGCCTCTTGCTTTCAAGCCGTGGTTGCGCTGCTGTAAACGGAGCCATTCTCTGAAATTTAGGGAGGAGGAGGCAAGATTTTTCATTCAGTACAAGAAAGCAGTCTTGTTTTTCTCCCGATCTGTGCTCCTGCGAGTCCGATGCCACCAACGACGATTGGATCATTTTTCTCCTCGGTGGCCACGGCAGTTATCGATGCCAATGATGTACTGTAGATGTTTCTGAAATGTGATGTGAAGTGACAATATCCACTGAAAAAGGAAACCTCACGCAAAACATTCTTGATATCTAATCCCCCCTACGGATCCAACGTCATCTCCATCTATAAACTTTCCAGAAGTTGAAAACAAGTTTGCAGCGCCATACCTGCTTCATAGACAGCGCTCGGTTGCGACCCCCCTCCTGCGCCACGTGAAGGCAAAGGAATCCGGAGCTACCCTGTTGACGGCCAAAGGTCAGAACACCGGCGTAGCCGGAAAAACCTTGTACTGATGAAGACAGCACTAGAACTACTGAGGTATCAGACAGACACCAGAGACATTCTCAGCTTGGTGGGGGTAGGGAGTTGTGCTCCGAGGCTCGTAGCGAGAGTGATGTGGGCTCAGCTCTCTGAGGTTCCCATCAGGCCTGCTACTCTCACGTGCTGTGGTTACATTTAGCACTTGCAGCTCTGTTTTGAGGCTCTCTTTACTGAAATTCTGCTTGGCAAGACTTGTAACACAAAGAGTTACGCTCACTTTTTGCAAGAAGAAATAGAGGTGCTCTTGGACATTGTTCAGAGGAACCCAGTCGGTTCAGGCTAAGATTTGAAGAAACGGTCCGGAATGACCTATGAAAATGCAAAAGATCGTATGGGAAGGGTCGTATGGACCGTGATGGGAAACTTGTGCCAGTTTTGCGCCGGATAGTTTTAAGATAGAGGAGTTAAGGGCCAAAGTTGTTCTAGTGATACCTCCCCTTTCCCAGTGACTCCTACAGACTGCGCCGTCAAAGTTTGCCTTTCTACCGCACAGTAGCATGCAATCTTGTGGGGTCATACAGTTCACTACAAGGAATCAGCAGACTGGGCTCATCCGAACCGTTCGGTCTCTTGCACTACTACCCGTACGACTGTTTAAGGCTGGAATGATACCATCGTTGTCTACGTTCCGTTTGACATTTTCTTCTCATAGACGAGTCAGTTGGCTTCACTTCCATATCCCAACACCAATACCTACGCTCCCTATCGTGGACCGGGCCTTTGAATTTGCACAAGATTTGGCAAATTCTCTACGATAGCCGATCGTTTCACCTTTTAAAGGGCCTACAAAGGGCAAAGCAGTCGATCGTTGAGAAGTTATTCCGTGTGGTTAATTACTGCCTTTCTTTCTCATTTTGGTTATTATGTTTTCAAGCATTCTAATTAAAAGAAATTTCTCCACCTGTTCACCATTATACCACAGATCTGTTCGAATTTGGCGAACTGTTTCACCGACGGTGTCGTCCAGCTGCCGAACGGTTCGAAATCATCGAAGTTGGGCGGGGACTCATTTGACGTCCCACTGCCTCTTGCGCTCCAGTACCTGCAACAGACAAAATTGCCGTCATTTTTGTTTCATCTTGTGAATGGGCTCAATTTGAAGAGGCCCTTCGAGAGCATTCCCTTCACTGGTAGCGGACACGGAGTCATCCATTAAAGATTATCCCCTGAGACCTCTCCCCAGGTAGACAACCGGTTGTCTGCTACCGTTGGCGAGACTGTAACTAAAGGAGCCAAAGTGTTCGTTCTAAGCAAGTCGCGAGTTGCGTGAGCACTCACCAGAGCTTGACATTCCTGGTCGTGGCGCCACCTGTGATCTCATCCCAATCATCCTTGTTTGTATATACACCAATACTTAGACAATGCTCCTGAAACTGTGTTTTGCATTTCGCTACAGTAGGTCAAAATCTACGAGTAAACTCACGAAGGCTCGTTCGAAAATACTGTTGAGAAAGCTGATGTTGTCTGCGCTCGATGAGGACAATCCCATGGCGATGTCACCTGGAACATGCCGTTTCTCTTCGCGAAACCTTCTCAAAGAATGATAATCGTTGATAAATTTACCAGGGTCAGCAGACAGCATCCAATTTATTATGGCTTTTGACCACTGCGGCGAATGCCCTGTCCCTTTTTATTTTTCTTTTTTTATTATTTTTTTTTTTGTTATTCCCCGATTCTACCCCTCCGAAAGTCCTCAACAACTTTTTGCTCATCCGATGACTTAACGAACTCACACCTCCTCCAGGATCTCCTGGCTCACAAGCACTGAATCATACCTGAACCCCATATGCGAGCGAAAGGCTGATTTATTGCAGCGCTTGAAGCTTCTCGAAACAATCTCAGTCACCAAACTGCTGAGCACCACTCTTAGATTTGGAGCGTAGGTTGAGGAGTCGTTATAGGGGGGGACTTCAATTCCAATTCCCAGTCTGAAATACAAGAGGAAGGTTGTGAAATTTTTGTAGCCACCATCTGAGCGGCCAATTTTTTGCATTAAAAAGCGCGTCTTCATTTCAAAACAATAATCCACAGTAAACCATACCAGCTAGCTGCGTTCTGATATTCACAATCAACAGAAAGGGATCGATTGTCCTTATATAGATCGTCATGTACCCTCTGAAAATGCGGCATTGCCCTTTGAACTACAGCCTCTTGAATTCTGCCGTTATTCCAAAGTCCCATGTTTGCCTCTTGCTTGCAATTATTCTCAGGCGTTATGGGACGCGCATCGTGTTTGCGGCCGTTGCATGCCGTCCTGTTTCGTTGACGTGCCCCCTACTCCTCCATTCATAGCGATGATCGGGACGGCGCACATAAGATTCCCTAATCAATGTCCGTCGGAAACTTCTCTAACGCATCCGTTACCACTTTTGTTGCCCTGAAACTTTGGATTTATCCGTTGGCATTGATCAATACCTCATGAGTTAAGAAAGTGTTTCCGAGCTACAGCTTCACTGTTTTAGGCATAGCGACGTAAATTGTAGCCATTCAACCGATGGCTTCCCGGCGAAGTGTGTGTATGGAGTTCCAGAGGACTAGTGGCATGACCTTGACCGATTGAGTGCCAGCATTCTGGCAGCCTGCCCACCCATGGCTAGTGTAATTATAAACACATTCCGGTTTAAAGGTAGGGGGGTGGGCGAGAGTGGGGGGCGCTGGTCTGCGTAGAATCCACTCTCACACGTCAGTGCTCATCATTCAACTGTTCGTGGCCCATCACCTATTTGGGATGAGGTCAGTTTCGGGTCCAAGTCTTCTCTCCACGCCTTTCCGTCCGTTACCGATTCCCTCTTCTCTGACCCAAATACGACCACATCTTGGGCGAATTTTCTAAGCCAGCGCGAATCCATTCACTCAAAAAGGCCAGAGAATGAACATTCTCTGTCACATTCTTACCAGCAAATGTCGAATTTGCAGTTCACAATCTGAAAGGTTATAAAAGGTGGCCCAAATGTTCGATTCACCCCACTTTGCCAACCGATCTTAGCCCTGAGCGTGCATGATTCCGTAAGTTCCGAATAGCGCGTTTCGTGAAGCAGTTTTTTCCTAGTGTAGTGACCACGGCGGCCCTTATCAAACCATAATCGCCCAATTCTCGAAAACGCCCACCCAGACGCCACGTTGCATCCGTTGAGCAACGAACCACGCCATATCACACAAATCGGCCCGAAAAGGTCAAAGGCTCTTTCACTGAGGTCAAAAAATGAAATTATTCATTGGAATGACAAACCTGATAAAAACCACATCGTAGTGGTTTTCTTTCAAGCTCTTGAAAGTCGCTCTCGAAATCATTGCGGCAGCCGATGCAGCGATGTCCACGGCGTAGGCGATCTGAAAACTGTCTTGATGGAAAAGCTGGATGGCTGGTGGAATGCCTGAGTTCGGACTCGCGCTGTAGCTCTTAGAGATGACCTACCCTCTAGTACCCATCACATTGACAACACGTCTCCTAGCCCTTCTTATACTTTCTTATCCTTATACAGCTCGTCCTCCCTTACGTGCGAGCTTCACCGTCAACTAAAAAGTCTGGGAGATGACAACCTGGGACTTCGCTTAGCTGAATGCGTAGTTGTCTTACATTTAGCAAAGGCATCCCATTGTGCAGCAGGTGTCCCCCTAGACCGTGAGTGTATGCCACTTTTATCTTTTATACTTTGAACAAATGATGTCCTTCCAAAAAACAGGACTGCAGGGCGCTGTTTGTCGACGGGGGGGGGGCATTTTGTACTACCATTGCTTCCCTAGTTCCGGTTTACAAATCTCACCCTGGTAAAACTTGTGAACCCTTGTGAAGCTGGTGCAAGATCGTCTAGCCACCATCCTAAAACGTGTCAACTCGAGAAAAGGCTACCTAGATGGGTCGGCACATCTATGGAAAGCAGAATGCCCCCGTCGACAAACTGCGCCAGAGTGCAGTACCACGCTTAAAGCAGTTGACATGATAATTTGGTACTCGGCCTAAAATGCTAGCAGGGCGCTATATAGTGGGGAAAATGCGAAAGAACGGAGTGAAACGGTCAAAATCCTGCGAAAAAGAAGCCTTCGTTCTCAGTGACTTAGAAATCAATTTCGGACGAGTTTCCCGTAGGCATCTTGCCAACAACGCTACGGTAGATACGGCTGCACGTATGTACTCATATATCCATGCAGCACCGCAGCCGCTTCATACCAATCCCTTCGCTTCATATTTTACTTCGCAAATGAAGCAATACGAGCATCAGGTACGGTCGTCCATTTGTGGGCGGGCGGGCGTGGTGGGCGTTCGGGTCGGTATGTTGTAGCTTGATAGGGCCTTATAAGGGTACCTTCCTTGGAAAAGGCGCTACGCAGCGCCTGCTCAGGGTCGCGGAATTCCGTCCTGCCAGGCGTATTAATCCTACTCGTCTTAGGGATTTATCGTGCCATTTGCCTTTAAGGCACATTTTAGGGTGATAGGGTGTAGTCTGTGTACCACTGGACCCTGTTTCTCCGACTCGTCGAACCAGATGGTATGTTTCTTTGAAGTTCGGCAGCAGACGACACTCAGGCCGAATTACTGGATTGAAAGAACTGCTGTGTTTAGGACACAGGAATTCCATGGCCCATCTACTGAAAACCTGCTGCTGGAGATGCGCTTGTCACTCACGTAAAAGCTTAGCGGGTTTTTACGACACAGATTCTGTGAATTTCAGAGTTGATCATACATGGGGGTCGCGGGCAGGAACGGCATAGAAAAACGCTATTACGGCCATACCAATAGTTCGAGTTTGTTGAGGTAAATAGTAGTTGTACGAGTTTTTGAACCTGTTTTTGAAATAACCCCATACTTGTGTGGAGCTAATCCGATAAACACATGAAAAACCCAATAGAGAAGAAATCGTACCGAAGATGACATCGTGGCGAGCCGTGGAGTTCCTGAAAAAAGCCTTTTCAGTGAGACAGAGTTGTTTTCAATTTTTCAT